CCAGTACTGGTTGGTTCCACGAAGCGGACTCGAAAGTAATTAATATAAGTTGCAAGAACTTGTTTCGCAACCGAGCTTAAATAAAAATGTTAAAACCCAGCTACATAATTATGTTAAAGCAAAATAAGTCTTAAACAGCGTAATTATACATTTTTGTTCAACATTTTTATATTTCAACAACTTATTTAGAACATCAAAGTGTATTTTTATTCCCCTGACTTTACTCTACACATTACACATTTACACATTTTGCATCGTAGTTTTGAAATTCATATATATTTCACCATTATATTTTGTTTAATCTAAATGCTCAGTCAAATTAATTAATCTTGTTTTTAATTTATTTTAAAAGATTATTATTCTGAATTTATAAAGAGTTATTTTTTTATTTTTTACATAATCTTGCCGTTCTATCATTTTAGATGGACTCATAAACAAGGATATGAAAAAGACGAACGATTAAGAGAAAAGTTAGTGATCCATGTGAACCTGATTGTTCTAAAACGATTCAAATGCCTTTGGCGTATACAATCGTAAAAACAACGGATTACGTAATTGATTGATGGAACACTATAGACCTTTGCTAAATAAATATATAGATCTATGTTTCACTTGGTGAATCTAGTATGTAATAGATGACATTGTAATTAAATAAAACATATACACTTTAAACTGTTTTTGTACATTTGCGTTGACACCACCGAATAACTATGATCACCAGTATACTCATAGTTATGGAAAAGTTAATATTTTTTCTGGCTGAGTTTTACTTCGCAGCAAACACTTGACGACTTTCCAGCTTTACTGGTTTTGAAAGACACTACACAACTCATTTATTTATCTGATTTGTTTTTAATTTTAAAGTAATGATGTTCCTACCGTCAACTCCCCCTGGCATCGGCTTGGGCAAGGTTATTAATAATATACTTAACACACACAAACAAGAAGAAACTTCACATGGGGTACTGGTGGTCACCCTGGAACAATATAGTTTACGTATGTTAATGTTATATGAAACTTGAAAGCAATATATGTGAGTTTGTAACAGCGTCTGTTACGGGTTTCTTAAGAATAAATATCAAATTTGAGGTCAAAAGATATAGGAGTCTGTTTCAAAAATTACAAAATGAAGAAATGGGTGACTTCTTGAGTATCAGACTGAATTTCAATGTGCATAAAGACTTTTAATAACGTCTATTTGCTCTAATACTATTTTCCTCTTTATGTAATTTGTGAGACGGCGAATGACGTCATTGGATATGTTCTGCCATTCAACAAGGAGAGCATGTCTTATGTCATTGGCATTGTTGATTTGATGATAATTGCATTTTGAACGTCCAAACTCGTCTTAAGGGTTATATAGGGTATTGGTTATGGAGAAACCGCGGGCCACGGCATGACGATAACGCCGCTTTAAGCCAAAATCTATGCTGTAACACCAGATGTGTGGGGCTTTGCGTTGTCCTGCTACAGAATCACTCCCGGATCGCGATTTTGCGGGAGAACATTGTTCCTAAGGATGTTGACACTGCATTAACGTTGCCCGGAACGATCACCAAATATGTTCTTTGATTGTCCATTTTGTCCCCAAATCATGATGCTGCCACCGCCAAAACTGTCTCGTTTCTGCACGCAACATTGGGCAAATTTGTCGTTTAGTGGCGAGTAAACACTGACCGAACTGTAAGAAAACCTGACCTTGAAACGTGACTTGTCTGTGAAAATTACGCTTTGCCATTGGGCCCGGGTCTTGAGCCAGTGTCATCAAGCAAAAGCCTAGCGGGTGGCTCTGTGACATGCAGTAAGAATTTGTCCGGTATAAGGTCGACATGCACGAATTGGTGCTCTATCTTGTCTGAGACGATAACGTTCCTTTGAGCTGAGATCCCAATTAGTCTTAGAGCTACTGTTCAGGTTTTGGGGTAAAGAAATTACGTAAATGTGTAAACGTAATAAAGCGGTTGTCCCTATGAGACGTCGCCGGGGCCTACCTGATATTTGCCCATTCGTTACTGACACATTAATAGCATACCGGGTTGTCAGACCTAGGCATTTACGTAACATGTCAATAACGTGCATATAAAGTCATCGTTAATCATCTATATAGCCAATAAGAGATCGTGTTTAGCTCTGACCTCTAAGTACATTGACCTCGAAGGTAGGTGTCCAGGTATAGTGCAACACATATTGACTGATTATTGCCAACATTTGTGTCAAGAAACTTCAAAATCCTATGATCTATGAAAAGGTTATTGACTGGACACCACAAATACCCTCGAACAGACAATGTTAATATTTGACCTCCAACTGTGACCTTAACCTTAGACGTATGCATCGAGTTGTTGCGCATGCACATTGACTATTTATTGTGAATATGTGTGCCAAATATTTTTAAAATACATTGATCTATGAAGAAGTTATGGACCGGACACAAAATATACCCTGTGATACTATGTTTGTCTTTGACCTCGTACTAAGACCTTGACTTTTGAAGTAGGCGCAAGACACATCGTATTATTATTGTGAACATTTGTGCAAAATAGTTTTAAAATCCCTTGAAATATGGAGAAATTATGAAGCGGACAGAAAATATACCCTGTAACAGACTATGTTAATCTTTGACCTCCAACTGAGACCTTGGCCTTAGAGGAAGGCAACTGCTTTTTGCACATGAAACATTGTCTAAATTTGAAAATCTATGCCAAATATTTTCAAATCCCTTCATGGATAAGAAAGTTATGGACCGGAGACGACAGATACCCTCAAATAGATAAATTAATTAATGTTGACATTAAATCACCAAGTGTGACATTGATCCTCGAGGTAAAGGTTTGGTTTTTGCGCATGACACATTGTCTTGATATAATAAACATTTGTGCAAAGTTATTTCAAATTCCTTCGATATATGACATAGTTATGTACCGGTCTAGAAAATGTGACGAACGGAGAAGCGGACGGACGGAAAGACAGACCGACTTCTCTTTCCCCCTTTCTCCTTCAAAAAGGCGGCGGGGACAATTAAAACCATATGACCGTCCCATTTTATATTTGTGATTGTAAAAACATGTCCTCACATTATATCGAGATACAAACACGTGAAACTCATGCGCATTTCATTGAAATTATGAAGGCAATACTAATTTAAATCCAACACAAAAACATAATTTAATTCAGTGAGAATTCCATTGTTCTTTTTTAATTTGTCTTTAATTATTACTGAGTACAGGAGTATGCAAACACTTTAAAATCAATTATGTATGTTAATCTGGTAAACGTCACAATTATTATCACCTTTGAGAGCTTCAATTCCTTCCTTGATAATAAGGTAAATGAATTATCATACTGGATGAAACAAAAGTGGAAAGTCGTCTTTGCCTCATTTTTGAATAACCAAGCGTTCGCGCTTTGTATGTTTTATCAGTCGTTATCGGTATTTGTTGACTTTATAACAGTGAGCTAATAAACTATATCATATACGGTTATTGGCTTTCAATTGTAATTTGCCTGTCCAAATCATCTCATTATTACAAACATAAGCACGATTTGTCTGTTTAGAGATATTGATATTTCACATATAATATATATAATTGTATGATATTATCAAACAAAGTATATTTCTCTCAAAGACAGAGTCTTTGAAATAAAACGGCATAAAGGAAATATTTAAGACTATGTGCAAATAACAAAACTTTAATGTGATGAGAAAATACAGGAGAAAAATCAAAGGAAAAAAGTCCTGAAGAAAGAACCACTTACTTGTAGTCTTCCGTGAATTAAAGGTACAAATCGATGCAGAAAATGAAATATTCTGCATTGAAACACTTTGTAACATACATCGAATTAAAAAAATATATATATATTAAAAATTAATGTAATCTGTGCGTGAATAAGATTAAAAATTATACCGGCAATATACAATAATACTTCATTTTTTCCTTTCATCCATGTGCAATTTGAATTGTTTAGTAGCTAATATTCAGAGTCCCTTACGTTTACCTCTTTTAAACTGCTACATAAAAACAAACCTCAGCAGGATCTATGTCAAAATACCTCTATGTCGACATACCTGTGTGTCGAACGTCCTCTACGTCGGAATAGTATATATTAGATTATCCAATTATTCAGTTTTAAATAACTATGAATCAGTCATTGTCTAAAACATTTCTCATCATCATACTAACTGTCTTTGATACTGAGTGCAGTTCAAAAGAGCTTATACGTATTGTGTTCGTACTAATGTTTCACCAATAGATCAACTTTTTACCTAGGTGGCGCGATAGCTCAGTTGGTTAGACCACTGACTGTCACTCATGAGGTTTCGGGTTCGATCATGGGTAGTACCCTTGAGATTTTTTAAAAACACTATCAGTGCTTCCCACCTACCAAGAGGTATACTGATACGAAACCCAGGTAATTCTCGCATGTATCAGTGCTATTCAATGGGCATTTAAAAGAACCAAGGGATCTATTCAATAAGAGCTAGGGACTGGTTCCCGCTTTTCCTTGTATCTCATAGCTGTCTCTAGTGTCTGCTGAGGTGAGGACCCTACTTGCAATAAGTGCTTGCACTTTCGTAGGCTATCATTGACCCCCCCCCCCACCGGTCTTAAGAAAATCTATCAATCAATCAATAACTTAACTATTTTCTGGTTTGTGATATTTGACAGACGAGGAAAACTTATATAAAATACTAAGAAGGTTACAAAGATTCTCCAATAAGTATTTCAATACATGAATGAGACAGCAATTTCTACATTTTTATCACTTCATCTGTTTCTTTTCTTTGTTACCATTTTTAACAGTATTATGTTTTCTCCGCTTTTTACAATTATATTTTTATTTTCCTTGTTATCTCATTTTTTTCTTGCAGGCAGCGAATAAATAAATAAATACAGTGTATTAATAAAACAAAACACATACTTAAAACAAAATACTTTACTTCGTCATTTTAATCAACTTTTTGTTTCTTTAAATAGATAATACAATTCACTCAATCATCCTGAAAACAAAAGATCATTTATGAAATAAGAAGCAAAATGAAGTTCATTTTGTTATATGTCTGTGATAAATGTTCATTTAATCTAACGCAGATGTTTGATTAATCTAAACTAACTATTTGGCGAAGTTTGCAGTTCAAATGAAGTTAATGCATTTATATAATAATAATATCTGTCATATTTTGCGGTTCGGATCGGAATATCCGTCCCGAGGTGACCCGCCCATTGGGCGGTAACGAGGCTTGCCGAGTTACCGCCCATGGGCGGGTGACCGAGGGACGGATATTCCGATCCGGACCGCAAACATATGTCAGATATTTTTTCTTGCATATTCTACCATATTCCATTATACTTTAAATTCTTTATCTTTATTTTCAATGAAAATTAATATCATTACAACCATAACTACTTTCTTACAACGGCGTATGAATTACAACTTCATTCATAACGGTAAAATGACGTCATCCTAATCGTGCCATTGTACAGCACGCGACTCATCTGGAACCCCCCATGCCAGATGAAATTTCCGGCATGGGTAAAACTCACGGAAACGCCAGTCTGATATGCAAGAATATAGTTTCTAATATAAAAATGCAATAAAGTGAATATAAACAAGTGATAAGAAGGTGTTCCTGACAGGTGTTTATATTAAGTATCCGTTTGGCTTAGGACACACAAAATATATAAAGAACAGATGTTAATTGTATAAGAGAACAACGATTGTATCTTTGAAATAATTCATCTCTATAGTATTGCTATAAATTACATACCAACGATAGAAGGCCCGGTTCCTCCGCTTGAGCATTCAAGATTACAGAAATCTGGTCGGCAACAATGAGAACAAACCGGAACATCCCGAGGAGAGAAGCCGTCGATGGACCGCTTAGAAGTACATGTCTAAAATTTCAATTCAGTGCCATATAATTTAAAGATATACTATGCTAAAATTTGATATATACATGTATTTAAAAAAATAATGATAATTGCTGCACAGATTTTTTTTAAATTGAAATAAACATGTTTTGACTTCACACAAAATCAATATGTTATGTTTAAAATTCTGCCCACTATAGATGGTCATGATATGAATAAATACATTGTAGTGTCATTAAAACACTGGCAGTTTTGGTTTAAGAAAAGACTGTTCTGTTCACTTGTCCCGCAATAGGGAATGCAGCTGCCCATACATACTTTTTATTATTTTATTCAAATTATAGATAATTAGTAAGAATTCCATACATTCCAATACATTTCTGTAATTAAAACATTTCACTCGTGGATAAGCGTAGTATATCTTTATTAACGACAAGCACAAACACGAAACATTTAAACTAATTGGCATCGGTCTAAACAATTAATGATTTTTTTAAATAATATACAATGTAAAAAGCTTAAATTTGACGATGTTTTTTACAGCTTATTCAATCAATCAAATATACTATTTTCATTTTTAATAATATACCATTTTACAATATAAATAGTTTGATTTTCGAAAATATTAATAAACTAGTGTATTTTTTCATATTGAATTCCATACGATTACATTTAGCTTATTAAACAATTATCAAATACATTATTCACTCGAATTTGATTTTTTTTTCTCATATACCCCTGACAAAATACACAAATAAATTTGACCACGATACTCGCCACGAAAAATTCAGGAAAATGGAAACAATTCCGTGGATAACATCATAAATAATTCATGATTTAACATACCGCTTTACACCAGGTTTGCTTGAAAACTAATTCAAATTGGTAAATCAAATCAACATAATTCCAATGAAAGTATATGAAAACGGCTCATCTGTATATTAGATACAAAATTCCGCCATTTTCGGAAAAGCGCACGAATAAATCATAATAGCATAAAAACGAAGGCCAAGATGGCACTTGATCGCTCACCTGACCCATCAAACCCATCTGAGCAATTACCTAGACAAACATTCTCACCAATTTTCATGACAGGTGAGTCAAAAATGTGACGTCTAGTGTGTTAACAAGGACTTTCCATATTTGAGCGGTGTTTCCTAGTTTTGGACCCAAGATGGCCCATATTCAAACTTGACCTAGATAATATCAAAACAAACTTTCAGCCCAATTTACAGGATATTTGGATCAAAACAGTAGCCACTAGAGTGTTACCAAGATTTTTCTCTATTTTTAGCTCCTATGACCTAGGTTTTCATCCGAGATGACCCATGTTCGAACTCATACAAACAATTACCTAGACAAACATCCTGACCAAGATTTATGACAATTGAGTCAAAAATGTATCCACAAAATGTTAATAAGGCTTTTCCATATTTGGGCAGTGTGACCTAGTATTTAATCCTAGATAACACATATTCAAACTTGACCTAGAAATCATCAAAGCAAACTTACTTTCAGACCAATTTTAAGGATACTTTGATCAAAAGAATAGCAACTAGAATGTTCACAAGATTTTTCTATTTTTAGCTCCGGTGACCTAGTTTTTCACCCGAAATGACCCGTGTTCGAACTCATTCGAGCAATTACCTAGACTAGCATCCTGACCATGTTTGATGACAATTGAGTCAAAAATGTGACCACCAGAGTGTTTAAAAGGTTTTTCCATATTTAGGCGGTGTAACCTAGTATTTGATCCTAGGTGAACCATATTCGAACTTGGCCTAGAAATCATCAAAACAAAATTTCAGACCAATTACCAGGATATTTGGATCAAAACAGTTTTAACAAGATTTTTTATTTTTAGCTCATGTGACCTAGTTTTTCATTCGAGATGACCCATGTTCGAACTCATTCGAGCAATTACCTGGGTAAGCATCCTGACCAAGTTTGATGATGATTGCGTCAAATATGTGACCACTAAAGTGTTAACAAGTCTTTTCTTCAATTTTTAACTTCTGTGACTTAGCTTTTCATCCGGTATTATCCATTTTTGAACTCATTCGACTTATTACCTAGAAGAGCATCCTGACCAAGTATGATGACAATTGAGTGTTAACAAGATTTTTTCTATTTTTAGCTCTTGTGATCTTGTTTTTCATTCGAGATGATCCATATTTGAACTCATTCGAGCAATTACCTAGATAAGCATCCTGACCAAAATTGGATGATGATTGTGTCAAAAATGTGACCACTAAAGTGTAACTAGGTTTTTCTATTTTTACCTCCTGTGACCTAGTTTTTTACCCGAGATAACCCATGTTGGAACTCATCCGAACTATCAACTAGATACGCATCCTGACAAAGTTTGATGATTCGTTATGAGTTTTAATTCGTTACTGTGATTCAATCTGTCCTGTTCTATAACATTAAATTTCCATGTTATAATATGAATGATAAAAATATAAATAAAATTATAACGAAATGGTTACCAGATACATATATAAGTAATTAAATGACTATTATTGCATGACTATGAGCACCAGAAATAGTAAGAGAAAAAGGTCATTGTGAATGATAATTACCTGAGGATCAGTGCAGCCCATATTGTATACGAAATTATTTCCAGTGTCCAATTTTTCTATCCGGCAAACCTAAAATAAAAAAATCATACCGTAGAATAAATAAAGTTTTGATGATAGTCTAATATCTAAATTCCATTTTGTTTAAAACCTCTTGTTACATGTTAGAACATACAAGTAAAGAAACAAGTACAGTTCTTGATGATAGCTTATGTATGATATAATTATGTTAAAGATTCTTGTTCTTTTCAACGTTATGAGTGGTCCTCCTTTATGTTTAAAATCATGAAATTATTTTTACGGGTAGTTTCTACAAATCTATATCCATGTCATCAATATTATAATCGTATTTTTATTTATCTTCATCCGTTACGAGCTAACTTTCTCTAATTAATATGTCCTGTTTTGGAAATATAGCGCAGTCCATTAGACGTTTTATGGAGTTCAATATCAAAATAGAAAAAATTGAGTTACCAACAGTATAGATCCTGGTCGGACTGCTGTATGTATGGCCTAGCCTAGCTTTATTCTGGAGGCTTTTGATTCAAGCAAATTAAGGGTTAATCTACCAAACAAAACTTCTATTACATTCAATTAATTTAAATAATTTAAATACGCATTCAAAGAAAAACAATTTGAAATCCCGTCCCATAATGCTTACATTTGTTTTATCAATATTTAATTATTTCAAAAAAGAAATTAACCTGGTCCATTTGACATAGTTGAATATTGTGGCACATTTCCTTATATGTTACTTTTGAACAATTCATACATAATGGTCCCCTCGTAGATGGATTCTGGAAACCTTAAGATAGATAAATAATGAAACCATTATTATAAGCCTTTGATCTACAGTATTAATGATTCGAATTTTGCAAGGGGCTTTGGATTCTTTCACGTGAGGATGCCGTATGACCTGTACTGTGTCGTTGAGACGTAAAAAAACAACACAAAAGTGTAGTTCTTTGGCTATACAAGGGTTGTCCAAAAAAAATCGTGTACTGCAGTTATTATTCTGAGAGTTATAAATAAAAAGCCATGAATTATATATCACTTGAAGGGGAAATCTGTCTCAAATAAGAAAACAAAAAAAGAAAAAGCCGTGTAACCTGCGTGTCGTGAAAAAGAATTGTCTATAAGTTACCATAGTAACGTAATACCGGCGCATGGCAAAAAATTAGGTTAGTTCATTACTGTTATCGTATTAATTTTCTGTTGCTTCTAAAGTGGCATTTGCTTTTTATGTCATAATTTGTTTTACTGTGAATAGAGGAATGATTGATGCAAAGTATTTTGTAGTTTTTGCAACATAGATGTAACATTACCACCAGTGCACGAATATATTGGACAACCCTCGACACATGCGCCGGCATTACGGACGGAAGTCTGCCTGACCTGTTGTCATCGTCTACCCATCCTCTACAGAGTGTTTGTGTTATTTAAAAACCAGCATTCGTGACACTGAACTGGTCCCGCTTGCTTTTTAAGTTCTTTGTAGGTATATGTCGGTGTTTAACCAATACTTGCGCAAAATGTAATGATCGTCCGTATTTAATTATATACAATTGCAAATTCTTGGTAAACCTTAAAACGCGTTAATTGAATACAGTTATTAATGTCAATCTTAATAGCTTCCGATATCAATAGCATCTCTTAAGACGAATATTGAGAATAAAAAAAGTATATAGCATAGTTTGTGTAGATTATTAATGCTAAATATGCTACATCTCTCACATCCAATGCTTATAGATAAAGGTAACAAATTACCAGCATCACCACATCCGGCGCTGTTACAGAAATTGTCATTGCAACAGTATGAGCAATCCCCATTCTTAGTTGTATTGGTACATTGCTGAAATCATATATAAAGATCGATGAACTTATGGAATTAATGTTTTTATCCATAATAGAATTCACAACACGAGAATGTGATTTGGACAGAGTAATAATACTAAAACATATAATATACAATACTGTGTGAGGCCATCGTAGTTGAACGATTAGGAGTCCGTTTGTGCAAAAACAATGCACAAAGCGGCAGCCGATGTCTTCTTGCATCAATATAAGTGGGAAATCATTATCTGTCGATGCCACTCAAAAGTTCAAAACACAACACAACAAATAAAACTGCAATGTGTTATTCTAATGGCATAAATAAATGATTCATAAACCTAAAAGGTCAGTTTGATTTTGTGGAATTACTATTGTAAGTAAATTTCAAAACTTTCAAAATTCTTTATCAATAAGTTAAAAGCTTGATACACCCGAACCAAAACAGAAAAAAAAGACTGCACCAAATGTATGTAAACAGAGAATAATAGTAAAAGTGGCATATTAAATCAGCAAGATTGTTAGAGTTCAATACTGTAACGTGATATATATAACGAACAATCCATAGTCCTTTAATTGGTAACTTCCCGAGAATGTTTTGAATAAA